ACATGTTCTGCTCCCGTAAAGATTTACAGCCTCGGAAACCCTGTACAGGGTCGCTATGAGTCAATTCCGACTCCACGACACAGAACCACCACCACTATATATATATATATATATATTTGTTGTTGTTGTTATATTCTATAAAGGTTCAGGCACATCTGGCTTTGAGGACTAGCTCTGTTGTTAGCCATCTCTGCACAATGACCTCCTGGGTGTGTGAGGATGAAGTGGAATAATGTGCTATGGCTTCCAACCATAGTCAGTACTTGCTTAGGTACTTCATTTCCCATCACTCTTCAGCCCTTGCTTCAAGTATTTAAAGACTTATCTACCTTCATAGATATTGTGTTATCTGCTTAGAATGTTTTTTCCTTCTTAATCTTCCTGGCTAGCTCCTGTTCATCCTTAAAATGTTGTTGATGGTGTTGTTAGGTGCCATTGAGTCAATCCTGACTCATAGTGATCAACCCTATGTCCAACAGAATGAAACATTGTCTGGTTCTGTGCCATCCTCACAGTTGCTGTGCTTGAGCCTATTGAAGAATCTTGTTAAGGTTCTTCCTCTTTTTCGCTGACCCTTAAATTATGTTGTTGTTGTTAGAGATTGGTGGTGGTGGTGTGCCATTTAGTTGGTTCTGACTCATAGCGACCCTGCTTAGGGTTTCCGAAGCTGCAAATCTTTACTGGAGCACAAAATCTCATCTTTATCCCACGGAACTACTGGTAGTTTCGAACTGTTGACCATGAGGTTAGCAACCTGACTCGTAATCGCTACGTTACCAGAACTCCTTTGGCTAAAGATTGGGAAGTCTAAATAGGATTTACTTGGACTTTAAACTAGAGTAGTAGTTGGACAGCAAGAGCAGAGAGGAAACTAGTAAGCGCATTTATGGTCACAGACTACTCCACCTGACTTTCAACATTTCTTCTTTCCTCTTCACCCTCCCCAGGTCACTAAAGTGAAAACAAATCGGCCTTTACCTGAGAATCCTTACCACTCAAGACCAAGACCAGAGCCCAACCCTGAGATAGAAGGAAATTTGAAGCCTGCCAAACATGGCAGCCGCCTTTATTTCTGGACCATGTAAAGATGGGTCCATGGCCCATGCTCAGTCACATGCCCAGACAACAACGGATGAAAACTCTGGTGCAATTTGTATTGTCTGATAGTGTGTTCTTTCCGGGATCACGCACAGAAAAGTTAATTTATGTGACTTGGCAGTTACTCTATACCATTTCCTGGCCATTAAAAATTTTAAAGGAAACAGTTGTATTTTATTATGTTTTATGTAACCTTCTGACCTTTAAAGATGACTTCCCCTTGCTTTTTCTTGTGATCGTGTCTGTTCCTCCGTCTTTGCCACCAGTGTGGCAGGTCTTCTACATCAGATCGTGGAGAAATGACTGTATAAAGGGCCTGTCGGCGGTGTTCACACATTTTGAAGTCTCAGCTCTCCTCCCACTCAGCATCTCAGGCAAATAGATTTCCCTAAAGATCATACAAGGGCAGCATTCAGAATAGGAGAGGTGAAGAAATGTTTGAGCCTATGACTCAGGGCATGGGAGGGGCCTCCTGGCTGGGTCTTATGCAGTCTTGCTCAGTTTCTTAAAGAACCGAACTTCCACCACTTCCCCTTGATATCTCATCCTCAAGCATTATAACCCAGATGTTTTTCCTGATAGACAAGGGAGGTGGAGGCTGAGCTTCCAGCTCCAAAGCCAGGAAGTTGGGAGGTCCGAGTGTCAATTCCAACCTTGGGTGTGTTCCTTAACCTCTTGCAAGAGGTTGAATTTAAGGACAAACTAAAGGGAGCATGCTTATCTACCTCCTAGGCAGGTTAAAGCTACAAGTGTTTATAAAGCCTTTTTGTTCAAAGCACTATTATGCCTTTTTTTTTTTTTTTTTTTTAATTTCCATTGAATTCCTTTTTCACTACCAGGCTGTTTCCTCCACATTGGACAGTGACTTTACACCTGGTTGTGGCATTAAATCCCATATGACCCTGTATAAGTCATCTCAGATTCTTGGACCTTGGTTTCTCATTTGTAGAACTTGCGCTGTGGGTTAATGCACCAGACTACAAAGCCAGTTTGAACTGCAAAGTCGGCGGTTCAAGCTCATCAGCCACTCCTTGGAAACCTTATACAGGGTCGCTATGGGTCGGAATTGACTCAATGGCACTTTACAACAACAACAAATCGGCCTTTACCTGAGAAGTAGAGGATATGGGGCTCTCTAAAAGTACTCCAATTCTGCCATTCTAGAATTCTCAAGTGAGGCGATAGCTGTGAGGCCCAGGAGCTGTTGCACAAAATATTAGCATGGCATGAGCTGCCCTACCCCTTAACCCCACCCTGTTCTGATCCCACAGTTGGAAGCATTTTGGATAAGACTAACTCCCCTCTAGTTCTGCAAAAGTACCTTGGCTGCCACATTTGCCTCAGATTTTCCAAAATAGCTGAGGCAACTTCCATTAACCTTTTGGCCAAGTAATTGAAAGGCAATTCTGGTGGATACAATGGCATGGCTGTGGGTTGAGTTTGTTTGATGCCTCAGGCTACATTTTACTTCTTAGGTTCCTTCTGCAAAGGGAGCGGGAACCTGCATTAGTAGTAAATACTGAGCACTGCATTGTGCTAAGTGTTTTATGTGTGTTGACTCTGAATTCTCAGAATCCTTCAAAGAAGATACTACTATATGCCATGTCCATTTTGCAGAAGAAGGAATGAAAACTTAAAGATAGGTTAAGAATCTCCAGTCATGGAAATTGGTCCAATGGCCACACTTATCCTTCAGAGACATCAGTGGTTCTGTCTTGGATGCATCCTGGAACCACCTGGGGGACCTTTTAAAAACTCAAGTCTGGATCCTGCCCTCCAAGATTCTGACTTAGTCTGGGATGTGGGTCTGGGCATGGACTTTTAGAAAACTCGCTAGGCTATTGTAATGTGCAATCAAAGTGTAGTATTACTGATTGCCTATACACAGGAGGAAAAAGGTCCAGGAGGTTAAACACTAGTAAGTTGTTAGCTGCCATTAAGTTGGACCCTAACTCAGGGCAACCCTATGCATAACAAAAAGGAATACTGCCTGGTCCTGCATCATTCCCAAGGTCGAGTGCAAATTGGACCACTGTGAGCCATAGAATTTTCATTGACTTATTTTTGGAAGTTGATAGGAAATACCTTATCTGAGATTTAAACCCAGATACATCTGATTCCAAAGCCTATACTCAGAACAAATAGCAGTGCATGTGAATCATCTGGGGATCTTGCTGAGTGCAAATTCTTGATTCAGGCCTGGGGTGGAGCCTGAGCCTTCTATGCTTCTTGATGATAGTTGCTGCTGTCCATGGACCACCCTTTGAAGAACAATCGTATAACTCATACTACTACCTTTCTGAGAGCTCTGGAAGAACAGTGGTTACAAGTTGGGCTGCTAACCTCAAGGTCAGCTAGTTCGAAACTACCAGCGGTTCTGCGGGAGAAAGATGAGGCTTTCTGCTCCCGTAAAGATTTATAGCCTCGGAAACCCTATACAGGGTCAATATGAGTCAGAGTTGACTCCAGGGCACACCACGACTACCACCAGCACGACTACCACTACCTTTCTGAATGCAGAATGTATCTGACTAATCCGTCCTGCAGTGTCTGACACAGGATACTGCCTAGATGTTAATTCATCTCTTTAGAATCAGAGCGACAAGTCCTAAACTGTTAATGGCTTCAAATTCAATTCTAGGATGTTTTAACTTTTGCCCAAGTTGGAGAGCAACTTGCCTTTCCCCTTACCTCCCACCTCCCTTGCTTTGAATTCCTTGAACAAAGAAACTCACTTAGTTTTCCTGTCCTCATGATGAGATTACACCATATCATAGCCTTCGAGGACAGAAGAGTGTAAGTAATTAAAGATAGCGTTTCTAAAGCCTCTCACAACAATTGCATCTCTCAATTTCAGTAGGTAAAATGTCACACAACAATTTGAACAGGGTGAGGATCCCTGAGCATAACTTCAAATAACAGAAAACCTTGCTAGCTTGGCTTGAGAATAAGGAGACTAATTCCTTACATGTCCCAAAGGAAACTTATCTGCTTCTTTTCCTCTGCCAAGCCTGTTCCTGTCTTCCCTATCTGAGTTAATGGTGTCTCCATCCTCCCAGTGTCAAAACATGAGATGCAATTTTGACTTCCACTTACTCTTCTCATCCAACACCAAGCCCTGTTGAGTGCCTTCTCTAATCTTTCACACTTGCTGCTTCCTCCTTTATCTCAATGTGACTATCCTACAATGTTTTTGCTCCCCTCTCCTCGACTATTCAAAATACTTTTTAATTGGTATCCTACCACCATCTTCCTCTCCAGTCTATTCTCCAAGTTTGCTGCATGTGCCTCCATTGCTTTGCTTAGAAATCTTCAATGGCTCCCAATTGGCTACTAACTAAAGCACAAATCCTTACTGGCATTTTGATGCTCCATAACCTGGCCCCAGCCCATTTTTTCCACTATTATCTTACTGCTTTTTTGTATCCTGCATTCCATCAAGTGCTGTTCCTTAAGTGTTTTCCTATTTCCAAATCTTACTAATGCTATTCCCTTGCCTTGAAACAACCCTTCCCCATTTCTGCTAGGTGAAACTCTGCCCTTCTCTCAAGGCAAACACTACAGCTGTCCTCTCCAGGAAGCGTCCTCTTCCTACAGCCAGAAGTGGTCTTTCCTGCCCCTTTGTTCTCATGACGCAATATAGCGTGATGGTTGAGTGCAAGGGTTCTGGAGTTGACTGCCTGGATTTAAATCCTGTCTTGTTCTTTTAATCACTGTGTGACCCTAGGAAAGTTACTTAACCTTTCTGTGCCCCAATTTCCTCATCTGTAAAGTGAGGGGATACGAATAATAATATCCTCTAGGGAATAAGGAAGATCATAGAAGAATTGAGGCATTTGAATTATGGTGTTGGTGAAGAATATTGAAAGTACCATGGACTGCCAGGAGAACAAACAAATCTGTCTTGGAAGAAGTACCGCCAGAATGCTCCTTCGAAGTAAAGAAGTGAGACTTTGTCTCAGGTACTTTGAACATGCTGCCAGAAGGGACCAGTTTCTAGAGAAGGACATCATGCTTGGTAAAGTAGAGGGTCACAGTAAAAGAGGAAGACAGCCAACAAAATGGATTGACACTGTGACTGCAACATTGGACTCAAGCAACAACTGTGTGGATGGCGCAGGACCAGGCAGTGTTTTTTGTTTTTCAGTTTTTATTGGGAATTATGTGATAGTTTACATGGGAGAGCACCAACTTTACATTCATCCTATTGTATTTCATTTCACTACAATGATTACAATCCTCTCCATGCATCAGCAAACAACCAAAGTGTATACCCCACAAGCCTGCCCCGGGGCCACCAGCCTCTCTCCATCCCTGAGTTCAGAGTCCCCAGTCAATCCATCTCTCCACATCATCCTCTCTGCCTCCATTTCTGGTGTCACTGCTTCTCTGGGTAGGGTCCCACACTCTACTACGCTCTTCTCACTTGATGGTCCCAGGGATCTGCTCCTGTACTGCAAAGTAAACCACTCCCCTCCTTTTGTTACAAAACATCTACCTTTACATTTCCAACCCTCACAGTCAGTCCTGATAGCAATTATTCACTATAGTACCACAAGAGTCCTATGCACATCTCCTTTCATCATCAACCCCGTCCCAACAGACTGGAAACCATTCAGTGGTGATTCTACCTTCCCCGTACCCTCTGGAACTAGGCTCCCTCTTGAAAGCTTGTAAGCCAGTCACTTCTTGCCTTTGTAGTCCCCCCATCTTGGGTAGCCAATGTCCAAGTTGCCCATCCCTGTCAACCCTGTGTACCAAGGGGGTGGGGATGATCCTCGCTGTAAAGATTTGTTCCCTCTTTTGAGCTACTCCATCCATAAGTATAGATGACTGGGCAGTGTTTTGTTCAGCTGTGATAGGGTCACTTTGAGTTGGAGCCAACTCGATGGCACCTAAGAGCAACAACAACCTCTAGGGATAGCTTTGAGAATTTAAAGAGTTATACACAGAAAATGCTGAGTGCAGTGGTTTATGTGTATTTTATGTGCTAGCTATTAGTGTTTGCTGGCTACTGTTAATGATACTTTATTCATAGTACCTATCTCCAATAGTTTCAGTGCTGCAAGAACTGGGCTTCTATCTTATTTTCTCTACGTCTCTGGTGTCCAGCACATGATAAACATGCAGGAAATGATTAATGTTCATTTTTCCAAAAACTTCC